TTTCTGCTATTTTCCGTCTTAGATAGCATACCTTTCATATACTATAATCCTCACCTTTCAAACTCAATTTCCCATTTACGCGAGCAGCGGTGGCCTGCAGAGCAATCAAATCTGACAATCTTCCAGAAATTGCTGAAACAAGTGAACGCGAATTCAACAGATCCAGCAGTTTGTAGGGAGTTGAGCATCTAATTATCTGATGCTTCTGGTCACTCCAAGCTTCTGTGATGTACCTCAGGCAAACAACTGCTGTCTCTGGAGAGAAAGGAAACTGCTGCAGAGATGGCTGAGAGTCTCTGCCAGCCAGACTGTGTGGAACACAGTTTATTCTAATACCTCTGTAGGACATTAATGAGCCACAATAGTGGCTGTTTTAATGGGCAGCCAGACAGATTTTTAAGAGCCTGATGGTTTGTAATCCAGCAAGGTACTGTTGCACTGCTGCAAGGCTGAAAACATTTGTTCTTAGTAGACATTTTGAAATGATGACTGCTGTATTCTGGCAAAATTAGGCCCAAACCAAGCCATTAAAGCAATCTTTACCTACATTTAGAATTTGTTTGCTTCTTGTATGTACTTTTGCTTCATGTGAAAGTAACCAAATAAGGCTCAATTCTTACAATTCAGAAATGTGAAAAGTATTTTTTTCATCTCCTAGAGTTCAAAACTCGTCCATAAAACATGAAAACTACAGATTTACAGATATTTATGCTTAAATAGGTGGCCAGCATGGAACTAGATGCTGACATTAAAATTATGTGCTCTAACTTTATCTAATTATCATCTTGGTTTGTACTATTTAAACTTAAATATTTCTTATTTTTATTACTTGGTTGGAAATCATACACCATTGGTTATTAATGGGACAGCAATTGTTAGCTTTCAAGGGGGAAAACTAGAAATACATTCTCTGGTGAATCGGACCTTTCAGGCCAGCTTTTACTCTCTTTTTTCATCAGGGATTCTTGACCCTTTTGGTGATTCACTACTTTTTCTTCTTTGGATAAATACCGATTACTGTGAGGAAAAAATGGACACTGCACAAAAGCTGTAGATTTTTATTGTTCTGATCCAGTCATCTAGCCATCAAAAATTGTCCCTTTTCAAACAGTCAATTCTTTGTGCTTCCCTGTTTTCTCCACTTCCCATACATCAGTTTTGATGAAAAACTATTCACCTGCCTTATATATATATCTCACCCACTAACAGGAGCTATGATGTCAACACAATAAGTTTTGTCACTGTACCTGTCAGGGGTTAGTATGCCTTAGTATTGTATTTTATCACTACTTATTCATCTTATGTTTTCATCCTGAATGAAAACAATTTTTCAGGTAATTCTCTCAATTGAGTGAATCATTTTAATAATCCCTATATGCAGACATTCAGTTGGCAGCCTGTTTAAAACGCAAACATAAAAATATTTTAACTAAATGGGCATAAGCTGCACCTAACTAGGTACTGAACACTCCAACACTTGTCGTATAATGCTTTCTGTCTACTGTGGCCGATAAAAGCCCACCTATTCTTCTAGTCTCTTACATTTGCCCTGCTGGTACAGAGGATGGAGGACTCCACGGCTGAATCTGCAGAGATGCTCAGATACTTTCAAAGAGAAACCTGCACCACACACGAACAGACTTCAAACGGGGATGAATTCAGCCTGGCGAAAAGTATTTTCAGAACCTGTATCTGTGAGTTGTCCGTGTAGGCAGACATGGTTCACTTGCTCCCACATGCTTCTGAAACAACTGCACTGTTGCCGATACCTAGCAAAACCTTTGTTTAGTCTCACCCCTCTGTCCTGTCAGATCTCATACATATCATTACATCAAGAAATAATGTATGAAATGATGACTGCATGGAACATGCTGAAGGAAAATCCTCCACCTGAATTCACAAACAAGTTCACCTATACAAAGAAATAATGACAGCTACTATTATCCACTCACTACTTCTTTCTCAGCATAGTGTGGGTTTTATATATATATATATATATATATATATATATATATATATATATATATATATATATATATATATATATATATATATATATATATATATATATTCGCTTTAATGTCTTTGTATCATGCTGTTTCAATCCATTTAATCCAAAAAAGGTATTGCGGAAATGTGAAACTGCCTCACATTTTTGTCCCTGCGATTAGCTTCAAAGCTTTTGTTATGTACAGTCATATCTTTATTCTCAAAAATGACCAATTAGCTAATTTCTGCATTGTATCATAGTTATAATCAAATTGGACTGTAAGTGATTAAAAATCTTGAAGTCTAAATGAATTATTTCTCCTCTTGTCTCAGATTCTCTCCAGTCGATCTTTGACTGGGCCAATCAGCAAACAGAAAGAGAAGTTGTGAAAGATGAAGTTGATTTTATACGCTGCGTTACAGTTGTAGTCTACCTGTAGTTTTAGCAATGATAGTGGAGGAAGTGAACAAAGTCATTCTGTCCATGTTGGCCACACTTCCAAACATTGAATTAACTTTTCCAGCTGCTTCATTCACATCTATATTTCTTTCCAACAGTGAAGGATGGTTGTTTACAATGCAGGCAATTTCCGGAAAGCTTCTTAGCGTCAAACTGGCACTTTGCACAAATCACGACCAAACTTCTATAGTCCACGCCTCAAGGGAGCAATCGTTTCTCTATAGCTTAGCCCAGACTCTTTCTATTACACAAAGTGTACTACAAGGGGATGGTTTTAGTCAGGCTACATTTGAACTACATTATTAATTAATACATTATTACAAATAGTAAATCCACAAATGAAGTTATCTTAATTTTTATTACATTAAACACATATAATTATGAACTTGTGCATGTGCAGCTGTGTAATGTAGGAGTATCCTTTGTAATTCTGACCTGTCAGCACTCGGCTAGCTCCGCCAGAATAAGGGGTGCAACCTTGAACTGAGAGTGAAAAGACAAGCTGCCCATCTCCATAAAGGAGATCTGTGTCCTTGTTTACATAGCTGGACGAAGCAGAAACAGAATATGTACCCACGGTCAAAGAGTGCAGTGCAGAGCCATGCCAGCACCCATGAGAGAAAGAGCTGGGAACATGAACAGTATTGCAGTGTTGCTGCACTTTGCAGTATGGGCTAAAAAAAACTAAGGCCAGGTGTTGTTTTGTTGTATTAGCTCAGTTGTCTGTGGCTGAATATAAACCATTGCGTCTTGTGCTGTGTTTTTTAGTGTAAATTAATTGGGACATGGCAAAATACATTTTATTAATTCCTCAACATTATATCACAGATATACACTCATCTCTACTTGAATTTCATTGACTGAACATGAAGGATATAATATATTTCTTAAACATTTAGAAAACAAAGCAGATTTTAAATGATGAATTATTCAAAAATGGTTCATATTTTTGAACTGGCTTAATGATTGTATGTTATTCTGAATGTTTGGTGACAAATCTCAACTCATGACTCGTCTATCAAATATACTTGTCAGTCGGTATGAGGATTCTTTGAGCTATCCTTGTGTTTCATTTCTGTAAAACAAGGTGCTGAGCAGAACGACCATAATGTATCAACTCTGGTCTCATTGTTCAAAAGGATTCTTCTTATAGAGAAAGAAAAATATTTCCTTCAAAGCACTTTAAAATAGGACATATTAGTTCACTAATTTAGCTGTAATATAAAACCTGTAGTGTCTGAATTGTAGCTTTCAGGTTTCTATTCAGAGAGCAAATAAGAATGAATTGTCTGGAACATTCACACCTGGGAGATCTTTAGTGTTTTTAAATGGTTCCACTGGTTAAAAAAAAATCTTCCTCACTGTGGAAAAATGAATTTCAAATATTTTTCAACCGTTCTTTCAATACTTGTCAGATGAATTGGGTTAAGATCATTGCTGATGACTTTCCATCCCGGCATTGTACTTACATTTACCTGTCTGCTCCAGATCAACAAATTCCAAAAGCTGCTTTTATGAGACTAGTCTGACTTGCTGAATATCAATCAATCAAGAGCATTTGATAAAAACACCTACCTGCAAATTTCACTCTTAAATACAAACGCTTCAGCATTTTTATGACAGTGTAAACTCCATTGTGTGGTATTTTGTTTTGAAGCATATGAGGACTTAACCTGGCAAAGATCAAATCATTTTGCCCAGATATTTATTATTTCTGGGCTTGAAATAATGTCTACTTATGACAAAATCATTTACACAAACTCTAAATTTAAATATTGCTACTGCTTTCATTTTCACTCCCTCTCTAGGATACATCTCTGATAATCTGCAGGTTTTTCATTATGTACCAAAAGTTCACAGGAGGTTGAAAAGAAATGTTTGTGCACCTCTGTCGCCAAAGAAAACAACTATTTCTTTCATCTCGTCTTTAGTTTTCAGCTAAACTGAATGAAAGCTTCCCCTTTCATAATCCCAGTGCCTGGGTTTTCTATATTATCCGAATGTTGAAAATATCAACTGTGCAACCCACTTTACTATATGCCTCATAATTTATTCATTTCATAACACCTTTCTTCCCTTTTTGGAACACACACCATGGGATTTTCAGTTCATCCATTATGAAATAAAGAGTATTCGTGTTGCATTTATCCGTTGAACTCAGCTGAACTAAATTCTCCGCTGGTCAGTTTGCAGAAAATCGCTCTCTTCCTGTCCTTCTGCCATCTCAGCACCCCTAGATTCTCATCAGGAGGATTATCACCAATTCTTTTTTCATCAGTCTGGTGCTCAACTCAGCTCGCAGAGCCTCTCTGCAACATGCAACACTGCAGCCTGTGTGGATTCTCCCTCACTTCCAATGAGCAAGACGGAGAACAACCCGGGGAGGAGGATGGCAATCTCCCGAACGCAGTTCCTAACCTGATGAGCATGAAAATTGGTTCATTTTTGTCAAGCCCTTGTTCATGCTTTCAAGTGCCTCAGATTTTTATCTGACGGTGGCAGCCGGGGCAGAGCATAACAAGATACGATTGTGTGATATCATGATTTTTACCTCATTCAGAGACTTCAGCTTGAGGCTCGTATTCCAAGCTCCAGAGTCGACTCCGAGTCATCCTAGAAATCCAGTTTTTGTCCCTGCTTTACACCGTCTCTCCCCCCGTTTCTCTTTCTTGCACCCTTGTCAAAAGACAGACAGCCTTCAAAGCATCTCTTTCTTTTACTCTGCCGTGTTAGTAGGAGCTGCCTTCATTCATTGAATGAATTTAAAAAAGCGAAGACAAAGAGATGCCAAGGTCCACGGATTTATTTTCATCCCTCTTTTTCTTCTCTTCTTGAGCTTAAACACACCAGATTGGGCTCATGAGCAGAAACGATGTATGTGTTTCGCCTTCTCCTCTTCTTTCTCCTGCTCTCCCTCCTGCCCTTTTCCTTGCTGATTCTCTTTGAATCTCTTTCTGCTTCACTCTGTCCGGGGCTCACGCAGGAGCAGGCTGCCTTCTCATGATGGCTGAGACGCGTGCAGAGACATCTGAGAATTTGCTTATGGTGGAGGACTAAAGCAGCCGCTTAGCTGAGACTGAGACCACCCTCCCCTCCTCCCCTTCCAGAGATGGGCTTTCTAATGGCATGTACCATTGAAGCTCGGACAGGGTGGGCTGCAGCACTCACAAATGGAGGAGGGGGGGATTGAGAATGCATGAAAAGGGAAAGTTCTTCAAGGAGAATGAGAGGAAGACAGAATAATATCAAGTTAAAGATTGAGAGACAAACGTAAAGGAGTGTGCTTTCTCATTTTCTGTTTAATATTTAGACTTGGTTATGGAGACAGTCTACTGTTTTTTCTCCTGTCTATCACTTTAGTGATGCACAAATGACCTGAGTGAAATGACACTTCACTATAACAGCTTGGATCATTGCAAAATCGTTGTTTAAGACATGAGAACATATGCTGGTTTTGGCAGAAGAGACGTCAGTCTGGAAGAACTACAACTGTGTCAGAGATAGATAAGACATTCACTTACGCCTGACTGACTGCACAATGCGTCAAATGCAGAAACCTTTTCTGGAAAATGGCTTGAATTAACTCAATTCTGGGTGCAGAGAAAACCATCACGTTGTTTAAAAACTGAAGATGCTGTTTCTGCCATGGGTGATTGGCAGCCGCCCCCTGATGCCAGTTCTGTCCCTACATTTCCATCCTCTCAAGAAGCCCGCCGTCTAATTTCAGGCGTCACTGAATAAAGAGTATGTCTGTTGCCGAGGTGAGACAGCGTCTGGTGTGAACCTCAGGAAAAGCCATCCCACCTCCTCTGAGCCCAGAGAGCATAGCTGGCTTTCTGAAGAGTTGGAACCAGAGGAGGTGTCACAGCTCCATGGGAGCACTGCACTGGATGTCACTCCTGGAAAAAACATGACCAGCAGGAATAATAATGCTGAAAAAAAATGAGACAAGTCATAATTCTCCTCCAACTTATCACATGCATGCCAATAAAGAAACTCAAACACAAGACATCCCTACACATTTGTTTTTAATTACCGGTATGTCTTGTGTCGTATCTCATATTAAACACACAGGCTACTTTGCATTTTGCTGTCACGGTGAAATGAAAAAGGCGACAGGCAAGAAGAAATTCAAATCACTAAATTGCTGTTATGAGTGGAGCCATTGATGTGATGGTGTGTGCATCTGAAAGACTTGATAACCTGAAGAGAACAGAAGGGGAGAAAACATCAGATGATCTAGCGACTGTGTATTACATTTCAACGCAAAGTGTCATGCAGTATTTTCAGCTTTGGACTGTTTGTTGGCTCAAACTCCAGTGACTTCAGCAGCAAAGTTCAAATAACATAAGAATCTTCCTTCAATGTGCAGGGAAGAAAATTTGATTTTGAAAACCAGCCTTTTGAATATTGTAAGTCACTGCTGGTTGTGGAAGTAAGATGGAATTGTGAATATTAGTAAAACACAGGAGAGAAACAGTTGTTATTTAGTACAAAACTGTTTGCATGCGGTGACTCCAAGGTTGCATATTTATCAAATTTTTAAACAACAGAAAATATAAATCTGCTCTTCAAATAAATAATTAGACTGTAAGAAGAAATTGAAAAATACCCTAAACATTAAAAAACATAATTCTGCAGTTATTAAAAGTACTGTGCAGCTGAGAAGGTTAATTTCCAGAAGAAAAAAATATATATACAAGATGTGGATTGCTAAGCTATATGTACACATAAAACAATAAGAAGTAGAATGTTTAAAAGAAGGAAGGAAAAAGAGGAATATACAAATCACAACTATTCAAGGCTTATTGTGTGTTTGAAGAAGGATCTGCAATAATGCTCTTTTGTCGACTTAGGATGGAGTATATATAGTTTTGGAGGAGAGTTTGCCTCTATTTATATATATCTATGAACATTACAGAGTAAATCAATGTGCATTTGTCATGTTCATCTATTTCTGATGCACTAGAAATGTTCAGAACATGCAGACTGAGTTTAGTACAAATATCATCTGCTGAAACTGAGTCATTTTAGTTCAAGAATCAAAAATGAGAACTAAAGCTTCTCTGGCTGTTGTCCTTACAAAACACAAGGTGTGGAAATTATGTGAATTAAATTTTCATTTTTGTAAATTCCTGGAATAAATTAAATTATCTTGGCCATGTTACAAACTCTGTTGCTGCTTTCTTTTTTTTTAATTCTGAACTGAAACCTTATGATAATGGAACACTTCGATTTTGAATACATTTCATATTTTCTATTTAAAAAAAAAAAAAAAAAGTAGAGCATCTTCTCAGTTCTAGTCTGGAACAGGCATCAGGCAGCAGTGGCAAAGTTGTTTATATGGCTGGCATGGGCGGCCATGGTTGGTAAAGCTGTGCTCCTTTTCTCAGCTCTGGACTGGAGCTGCTCATGGGTTGCATGTTTTTCCCTCTGAGGAATGGAAGCCTGAGACATTGTCTTTTGGGGGAACCATATTTCAAAGCTTCCTTCTTCAAAATTATGAATAAGCCAGGTTCGAAGCTTATTCATCCAGCAGGAAATACAATTATCAGATACATAAAACATAAAACTGTATGTTAATTTTGAATCCCGAGCTCCTTGGTTGGGAGCAGGCCTTCCTCTGTCAGCAGGAAGAAAGAAGAGGTTCTTGCTTGTCTCCCTGATACCATCCCAATGGATGACGGATGCAGAAAAGAGGACAAGTTTGCTCCAGACCTTGCTTTTGTAAGCTTGGTATCACATCACACAACGAATCTCCTCCACTTCCTGTTGAACTGAAAGTAGGTTACTGCAGTGCATTGTGGGATTAATAGTTCTTCTACCAGCCTCCTGTAGTGCAGTCCTTTTAGGCATGAAGCAAAACACCCTTCTCAATAAATAATTAAGCATTTCTTCAATCTTTCATAGTTGCTTTCTTGAGAAGGATTTCCCCCATAAGCCATCTGCTGTGTCATTTCAACCCTAATAAGAATGAAACTGAGTTGCACTGGAGTTCAGAGGATGATAAAGACTAGGCCAAGGCCAAACAAACATACACTCACACAGGACTAGGACAGCAGATGGAAAGGGCCCTGTAATGGTGCCAATGCTGGAGCCAGGCCTAGTGGGCAAGGCCCAATGGCCTCTTTGGATGTCTATTGATATGTGATGTTCTAACAGACTCTGGGCAGCGAATTTGAATTCAGACAATGTAGTCCAGCTTTGACTGGCAAAATACAACTACTGTGGGAGTTGTTACACTAATGCTTTTTTTTTTTTTTGGTAAATGATAAGAAAAGGTATATCTTTCTAGATCACATTCTTACAGAGACACACATACAAACACACACATATTTCAAATAACAAAAATGATCACTCATCCATTTTTTCAAATTGTATGCATTGAATGGTATAGAAAATGTTTTTATTTGCATAACCCAATACGTGGCAGTTTAATCTTATCCTAACTTATTTGGAAATTTCACTGTTGGCCCAGATGTCTGAATTTAAATTTAAATTTTACATGAGCCAAAATAATCCCACATTAATTTAAAATACTAATCTCAAAAATACCCAACACACATGTGAACATCATATGGACTCTTATTCATTAGATAGCTCTGTAACTAGTATGCAAATATAAGTTGTCCTGCTGCTATTGGGTGTAGCTACAAATGTACAAGCAAATTGTACAATTTTTAAAAACTTTACTGTAGAATGGTAGGAAGAAGTTACATATAATCATGGTTAAAATATATTTTCTGAGAGCCTTTGTAAGGAAACACTTGAGCTGTCAAAAGCTTTTTGACTTCAGTCCGATGTGCATAAGTGCTCTACATAATTGTGTATTTTGATGTCATGTGAAACAGTCCAGAGGCACATACTCACCGGGAGAGAGGAATGACAAAGTGAGAATGGAAAAGGGTCATGTCAGGGCTGTGTCACATGCAATTATGCTTCTCTGTGCTGCATGCAGGAGAGTGCAAAATGCATATCTGTGACTAATAACACCACAAAGCCCATCTTTTCTTTATATTCTAAAATGAATCACTCATGTTTCTTTTCTAACTCCATCTATCCACAATAAGTCTCCCTGAAGTAGGTAACTGATAGTGTCCTGGTGCAATATTTAAAAACAATAATGGACAGTAAAAAATCTACTTTCAACAGGCTTCCTGTATCCTCAGTCTTAGGGGATGTCATCACTTGTGGAGGCCTACGTTGCTGGATGAATAAGGGTGTAATTGAATCCAATATTTCAGGGTTGCATGCTTTAAAAGGAGGTGCACTATGCAAAACTGATTTTTTTCAGCTTTAAAATATCATTTTCTCATCAACACAAAGTGCTGCTTTGATTCTTTCAAGCATTTTTGAGAAATCCTTGAAATGCCTGATGGTGCTTTTTAATGGTGATATGGATTAATGTCTGATTATCTATAAACAATATAGGAGCAGTTCTTTCAGTCAGGCAACACTTAGTACTGACCTCCCAACTACATTACTTTTTTCATATTTGACCCTTTGACAACAGAAGGAATTTTCTCCCCTCTGAAATTTGGTACTGCACTTCTTCTAACATTTAGAAGAAGTCTCAATATCACGTATAATAATTAGAGTATACTCCTTTTCACACCTAAATATTATATCCATTGTTTGAATTGGAGAGAGAAAAAGTGGGTCCTTATTTTTTAATTTTTGTTTTGTTTTATTTATTAATTCTGCAGTTTTAAACACCTGCAATCCTTCATTGATGACCTGCACAAGTTATTTCCCAGGATAGAAAATGTGCACAAGTCCTGTTGCTAGATAACAGGACCATATAGCACCAAATTTAGAGAAAGTTGTGGAAACTTGGGCTGTTTACATTTAGATATTGTTTTATTAAATAAGCAAGTACTCAACGTTTCTAAAGGTGAAATTGAGAGTTAATAATGAAGCCTACATGTTGTGCTGTAGAGTTTTTCTCACAGAGATTGGGTGTATTATTTTTGCACCCAGTTGGATCTTTTTTATGCTTGCTTCACTCTTACGCAGGAAATTATGTAAAATGGGTTTATGTGGCTTTCAAACGATCCCTTGG